AGTACAAAGGCGTGAAACTGTGTCAAGATGCTTACAAGACTGAAATAGTACCAGTATCAGTTAAAAAATTCTTAACATTGTAACAGTGTTTTCCAGCGCCAAAATCCGGACGATATCATCGTAAAAGGCCATAATGAATGGTAGAGTAGCCACAAAAACCGAAGTAGGTCCACGGTTAATGAGCTGTGTCCAACACATGATGGTCGCCGCATAATTTCCTTCTTAGGCCCTGTTTACAAGCAAGGAGGGTAACCCTTGTGCTAGGGTTACCCTAGCAGGCGGGTCAAAGATAGCCCGGGTTTACAAGCAAAATTTCACAGGTAGGGTTACCCTACCACCCGGGACAACTTAACTATACTTGGTAACGGCACGTATTGTTATCAATGTTCAAAGGGTCTGGAAACAAGTAAAAAGTTGTCCTGGGTAGGCGAGTTATACCCAGCAGAACGTTTACAAGGCAGCTAGGGTTACCCTAGTGCTAGGGTAACCCTAGCTGCCTTGTAAACACGTCGATGAAAAAAAAGAAGAAATGTGGGAGCGTTAGGGTAACCCTCCTGCCAGGGTAACCCTAGCACTAGGGTTACCCTACCTGCTTGTAAACAGGGCCCTAAGATGCGGAGGCACTGGTAAGGCATGTCACTCTGGGGGAAGGTTTTATCAAAAAGTCCAAGATCGAGTTCTCATTACTTTACATCGACCTCTTTGTACATCTGAATTTACACTTCCACTAAATCATTCTTCTTAAATGGTATCCCTATTGCGATGATATTCTGACAGTTTTAGAGAGAGAAATTGGAGTATTCCATCATTCTAAAACTGTGTACACTACATATGCTATTCATGGGCTTATTCCAACCTTCAAGCTTCGTGGTGAAAGTGGACGTTGGCCGGCCAACTCTCAGAAGCCTTTGTTTCTAAAATCCCTTCTAAAGATTTTTCTCTCTTAATTTCCATAGGGGCTCGAAGTGACATTCATTTCAAGAAATCAGTCGTGTACAACCGTGATGCTACTACCTATACTCAACACTCGACTACTGTACTCTTACAAAAGATATCTGCACAAACCAACAAACAAATAAGGGAAAACAAAAAAACAAAAAAAAAGCCTCTAAGGAAAAATAATGTTTCAAACTAACACAACGAAAACCGAAAAAAAACTCTTTGTTGCTGGCTGATACGTACAAACTGAAACAAAACGTAATGAATAAATCTGAACAAACAAAATATTTGCTCGTCATTTAGTTATCCTTCAAGTGGCACTTGATAAGATATTTCGAGGAGGTAATAAAATTAGTGCATCCTCACTGACGTTTTCTTTTTTATTTTAAGTGTTCTCGATTTCAGATTTTCATTCTCGAATTTAGCCTGTGTGAATGCCGTATTCCACACTTCTTACCTGTATACATAGGCAATATATATTCTTCGCAAGTATATGCAGTCATTACATGAACCGACAAATTTACCTTACAAGTGTTGTAAACCTCTCAGGTGTTGTTTGACGATGTGTCGTGTCCTTTCATTGGCAATTATCTTTTATTATCGACAATGGATAATAATTAGCAATTAAATGAACCCGGCTGACGTCACGCTTTGAAAAGCCTTCGTTCTTGTGTTTACAGTTATAAGAAACATGTGCAATCAGTTGTGGAGAGTGCATGGCTTAGATTTCACCTCTGTTCTTAGATCAAACTCGCAAACATGTCAGAGGGTGTTTTAACTTCGTGACACGATAGGCTGACTATCTGGCGCGCACAAAGCAATCAAAAACGATGCGAATCATCTTGAGCTAAATGAAGTACACGTGTGGCCGTGGAAAGCAAACCCGCTTATTGTCACAAATATTATGCAGACTTAAAGCACTCTTAAAATCGATTTGGTGTTCTAAATCTCTTAACCTTGCTGTTCAACCTCTTCAAAACCACAGAAATCCTTCCGTGGAGACGTTGCGAATCGGCGATTAGCAACGAGCGAGTGACCAGAATTTCTAGAAGCCTGTGTGAAGGTTCGCTCGGCGCAGAGCGAGTGGACCCGATCTTTCGCCTCAGAAAACACGGACACAGCGATGTGGTGCCAAAGGCCGTTGCTTACCCTCTGGCTGACGATCGCATGCTTCATCGGTGGATGGCAGGATTTCGGATTTGTGAGCAGTCTTCAGCCGCACGGGAGACCCTTCAAACTCAATAGCTTGAAAGACAGTTTACCAAACACTCAGCCACGAGCGCGACGGGAGTCAAGTCGTCGACGGGTGAGGGGAAAGCACACATACAATTTGAAACGGACGCCTATTCGAGATGCGAAGAACAGAAATGCTTTATGCTTAGGTAAGATCGTTAAATGAGTAATTTTATTGTGGTGGATTTAGGCTTCTTAGAACTGAATTGCGCCGCTGATTTCAACATGTGCGCTTTTACTGATATTTCACCTCGGGCTCGGATTTCAACTTATGCAAAGACGATCTCGTCGATTGTGCTTTTAATCTAATGGTTTTAAGCGTTCTCCTCTGATACTGCTACCGTTTAGCTCGGTGTGTACAATTTTAAGAGCGTTTGTAACTAAGAATACCCTCAGGGGCCACTCTGTGTTATTTTGCGGCGAAGCAATAACAGAATATTGAATGGGTAAAGTAAACTGTTTTCATCTTGAAAGGAAAGTGCTTCGGCGACGCCGTATGCGCGGTTTGACATTTGCGTTTGTAAGAAAAATGTATGAGATCTATTGCGAGCTTTGTGTTAAAACAAGCGCGCAATTTTTGGTATTTCTAGTTTGTCGGTTGAACGTCAAAGTGTCATCCGCTTGGATTTACAGCTGATCTATTTGTTATTTTCCTATTTATGTATGCATGCGCGGTGAAACTTTGAAGATGAAAAACATCCTCATGTTTCGCCGATGTTTTGACTCTTTGTCGCAGGATAATTATTTGCCTTTCTGACTTGGACTAAACAGTCAAGGACGTATTGCCGCTAAACTATTAAATAATAAGTAACCTTTCTGACAGACTTCAGGGACTCTCGTTTCACCCTCTGCTTATGTCTATCGTCTGTCGCAAAAGTTGCAAATTGTCGGAATTCGTTCTTTGACGGTTTTTAAGTATTTTTAAGTTGTGTTGTTAATTTGCGGCTGCTAGGATAATGGTTTGTACGAAATATCTGGCTAAACAAACTTCTAAATATATATGTCCCAAATAATATGCAATTCAAAACATTAGTGTGAAGATCAGTGCACCGGTGGAAATTAAAATTTTTCGGCGTTTTTTTTTTACTATAGCCAATGGCATAAAAAGTTTATTGTAGTCAATCAATCGTATTAAAAAACTGCTTGAAAAGTCATGTATATCTGCTCGGCTGTTATCAGATGTGGCTCATATATTCAAATCTGGAAATCCAATCAATTTCCCATATTGACACCAGACGTTCTCACTGCTGACCAAGGTTTCATATAGTGCTATTCTCTCGACATGCATGTTATGCATTTTTCCACATTTACCTTTTGAACCAAATTGTGACCAGATTTTGAAGAGATTTTTCTGTTTTTCTAAACCAGACCATCACTTTAAATGATATTCATTGGATGAATATTTAGTGGTTTTTGCCAAGTTTTATTACTACAAATTATTGCTTTGTTTAAATTATCTCTCTTTTTTCTCATTGCCATCTGTCTGCTTGGCAATAAGTTAATCTCTACATCAAAATTTAAATTTTTGTGCTTAATACTCAGAGCTATTATCACTAGGCACAAGTTTTGTCCACAGGCGATGCATTGCAATCATTGCCATTTTTACAGTGTACATCTCTGTTATTTCCTCCAGTGTCTCTACTTATAACAGTTTCTGATATAATGCAATAAAAGTGTGATTTTGTGTAAAAATGTTGCACATGAAACTGGAGTTTTAAGGCTCGGAATTTGTAGAAAAGGTATACTGTGGTTTTCAAATTAGATTCTATTATTCAATCTATTATTGGATGTGCTTTTCACCTTTTGGTAAAGAAGAGTTCAACATTCTCTCAAATACATGAAAATGTAATCAAATGTTAAACTGAAACAAATGTCAACTCAGTTATGTGTGTTTTCTGCCATCTCAGATACATTTGTTTACTTTGAGCTGTTATTACACAAAATTATTTATTTATGGCATTATAACACTTTTCTAGCATTTTAGTTCACACCTTTAATTTCATGTTTTTTGTCACGCTGTAGTTAGTACCCGCTTTTGTATTACTTCATACTGTAAATATTTTATTCATCAACTTGTCTGTCATATAATTACTCATGTTCAGTTACTCATTGATTGAAGATGGCATAAGCATGCCGAAACATGTCTCTAAAAAAAGTTGTACATTTCTTACAATATTTATCCTACTTGCTACTACTATGACCAAATGAAGAATTCAGGGATCAGGATGTACCATATATGAACTCAGAGTGGAAGGAGGCAATACGGGCTAGACGCACGGCTGCCAGGCGATACAGCAGGACAAATGCTCCAGAGGACTTGATCAATCTTAAAAAGTTTCAAAATGAGGCGACTAGACTGCGTAGGAAAGCAATAAAGAGCTATTGGAAAATGAAAGCTGAGGATCTTAAGAACAAACCACAAGACTTTTATAAAACTTTTATGCCCTTCTTGTCATCAAAGTCAAACTGCAGGCAAGTCTCAGACATTAAGCTTAATATTAATGGACAAGCTAGTAGTAATAAGGTCGACATCTCCGAGGCTTTTGGGGAGTATTTTTGCAACAATTGCTGATGGTATTGGCCAATTGGATATAAATAAGTGCTCTCCGGGTGATTTTGACAATCACTGCAGTTTGATGGCCATAAGGGCGGCTAACCACGATAATAGTCAGTTCTTCTCTTTCCAAAGCGTTAAACCTTGTGAAGTAGAGGACAGGCTTAAAAAGCTGAAGCTAGGCAAGGCTATGGGCTGGGACCTAATCCCCCCGCGGGCACTTATATCCGGGGCTAGTAAATTGGCTGTACCACTTGCCAATCTGTTTAACATCTACATTGAGCAGGGGCATTGGCCAACTGACTGGAAGAAGGGAGAATGGACCCCAGTTCACAAGAAAGACGATCAACTGCAAAAAGAAAACTATCGTCCTGTGACTGTGCAAATTGTTATTAATAAAATCTTTGAGCAACTCCTTTCTTCCCAAATCACTGGTAACTATAATAATCGCCTGTGTGACCATTTGACTGCATATAGAAAGAGGAACAGTTGCGAGACTGCCTTGTTATACCTGACTGAGAGCTGGAGGCACTCATTGGACAATGGGGAGTGTGTTGGTGTGTTGTCAACAGATATGAGTAAGGCGTTTGATTGTCTGTTCCCACCACTCATGCTGGCTAAACTAAGAGCATACAGTTTTGATGATGTCAGCCTCAAACTCATGGCATCATATTTTGAAAATCGCCAAGCAAGAGTGGAGCTAGGGAACTCAACAAGCGTATGGAGGAAGGTGGTAAGAGGGTGCCCTGAAGGCTTTTCTCTTGGGCCTTTGATGTGGTATCTTTATCAGAATGTTCTGTCTTATGTAATGAAGTTGAATATCTCTATGTATGCCGATGATCACCAGTTTTTCGAAGCAAGTAAAGATGTCCAGCTAATCCAAACAAGATTACAGGAGATTGCAGTTGCAGCAACAAGTTGGTATAAAGAGAACTGTTTACAGGGAAACTTTACCAAATATGGTAGCATGCTCATTAGCAAGCAAAAAGATGCCAATATCAATATTGACATAGACGGTAATAGAGTTTCCCACTATCAGAACATTAAATTATTAGGTGTACGTATTGATTCTCAATTGACCTTTAATGTCCACATAAGTGAGAACTGCAAAAAAGCTAGTCAGAGAGTGGGAGTAATGGTAAGGTTGTGCAACTTGATACCAACCACTGCTAAGCTGCAGCTGTATAAGGCTGCAGTCTTGCCCTATTTGACTTACTGCAGTACTGTATGGCAGTTTTGCATGGGTTCAAAATTCAATCTGGTGAATTTACTTACTCTTTTAAATTTATTCACCAAAGGTTTGAATTCATGGAATACTTGAGTGAATTAATTGAAACCATGTTAAATTCATCGAAACTGAAAACTTAAATTCATCAAAACACTGAATTCATTGAACTGTTGAATTTGATGGAATACTAAATTCATCAAAGTTTTGAATTCATCGAAACACTAAATTCATCAAAGTGTTGAATTCATCGAAAATACCCTTCAGCATTGAACCAGTCTATCACATCCACTGAAGTCCCATAGATCCTTGCAAGGCCTTTTTCTCCAACATGGCGGATACAGTCGAATATGAAGAAAGACTTCAACATACTTTGCTGGATCTTGGGAGAAGATTGCTAAATGGTGGGGATGTGGATTTAAGCTGAGAGTAGATTCTGTGGTACGCAGCATTTGGATATTCCCTCTGAATGTTTCTGAGCAAGGTGTCTAGTTCACTTCTTGTTTTTTGCACTGAAATGCGGTATTCTCTAATACGTTGCTTTATTGTGCTCTTTGACACCCCCAACGCAATGGCTATCTTCGATATAGAGATGTCATAATCAATCATATATTCCAGCTTCTCTCGGGGAATATCAAATTTTGGCCTTCCAACTAAACCACTAGGGGTGGCGCTACAACCATCAAAGTTTGTGATTAGCTCTGCTCTCATCCACACTTTCTAACAAAACTGTTACAGCTGAAATGGATTGCACGATTTCACTGAATCATTCCAAATGTAATAGATGATGGTTTATCTGCTGTAATCGAAACATGACAAAGTCGACATCCCCACCATTTAGCAATCTTCTTCCAAGATCCAGCAAAGTATGTTGAAGTCTCTCTTCTTACTCGACTGTATCCACCATGTTGGAGAAAAAAACCTTGCAAGGATCTATGGGACTTCAGTGGACACGATAGACTGGTTCGAGGCTGAAGGGTATTTTCAATGAATTTAACACTTTGATGAATTTAGTGTTTGGATGAATTTAAGTTTTCATTTTTGATGAATTCCACATGGTTTTGATGAATTTAGTCGAGTATTCTATGAATTCAAACCTTTGGTGAATAAAATAGTAAGTAAATTCACAAGATTGAATTTTGAACCTGGTAAAGTGCCATAATTATGTGGCTTAACATTGACCTCAAGTCTCATTACATACATTGTAAAGTGTCCACCTGAAGTAATAACTGCTCTTGTGCCAAGATACATGTACAAACTGTGTTGTACTGGATCAAAGCAAAATTTTCTTAGAAAACCTTTTGGAAACTGATTATTTCTCTTTTATTTTAGATGGTTCTGAAGCAGTGTTTTACCTGAGTTGTAATTCAGATTCAAGGCACTGGGTTATACAGTTGCAAGAAGGAGGCTCTTGTGGGACATATGACTCATGTTTACATAGATCCAGAGGCCCTTTAGGCTCTTCAAGAAATTACAGTGATCATTTGACAGGGACTTTTGTTGCTTCTGATGACCCACAACAAAATCCTATGTTTTCATCTTGGAATAAAGTATTTGTGCCATATTGCAGGTAATGTCCCGTCCCCTTTTAAGCTTCAAACAATACATACAAAATATTTAACAAAGAAGATAAGGGTCTACTTCAGGACATGGTTAGATGAGCTATATCAATTAAAGAATGTAAAGTTTTTGTAATTTGATTTGTTGATTAAGTTTACTTCTGACCAAAGCTACATGTAGCTCATGTTTTGAGTTGGTTGCTCGTTATACATGTGTATTAGTGCATGGATTACTGTGATCATTGTACATAATAATTATCATAATTGATCATGTTACCCAAGCATGTAAGGCTTCAGCAGAGCAATGCCTATGGCTAAACCAGTCTCTTAATTTTTACTAAAAAACACCAACAGTTGTGCTACATGTATGTTGACCACTTCATTATGAAACTTTCAACTCTATCTAAGAGATTTTTATGTACAGGTATGAATCTATATTCATAGTGGGTTAATAATGAAAAACTGGAGGTAGCAAGTATAAATGCACATCATGGGTGAATTTACTGCAAAGATTAAAGAAAAGGAGGTAGCTTTCATGGCTTTCTCCTGTTACTTGTCTTGTTTATCAGACTATCAAATCAAAGGCACATGAAGTGTTAGAAAAGCTGTTTTAATATTTAAGATACAGTATGTTGAGGAATGTTTTTCTTTGTTTCTAGTGGTGATGTATTTGTTGGTAGAAGAGGAAAAGATCAGAATGATTATGGCATGTATATGTGTGGACATTTCATTGTTAAAGCCATATTTTTGCAGCTTATTGAAGATTACCGGATTAACAAAGCAGGAACAAAGGTATAGTTTGTTTTAAAATCATTAAAATCATGTTGTGCTTCTGAGTTGGATTTGATTGAACATTGAAGTGAAATTGTCTTTGCCATAACTTCCCCATACATGTTCATGTACATTGTACTCTGGCAAGGTTATTATTGAACTCTCATTATAAAAGCTTTTCAATATGTTTAAATGTTACTTTATTTTGCAATTGCATAACTTACAATAACTTTATGTTACTGGTGTGGTAGAAGATTATCTTAAAAGAAGTTATGCCATAATTACTTACAAAACAATAAACAATAATTATTATTGGATGAGGTTTTTGTGATATCCGGAATAATCAAGGCCGAGGTAAGTGTTATCAGCCGAAGCCGAAGGCTGAGGCTGATGACACTAACCCAAGACCTTGATTATTCCGGATATCACAAAAACTAAATCCAATAATTGTTGTATTATACATTGTTTTAAATAAAACAATGCCAAACGCATTATTGCAGCGAACACAGTTTATTTTTGAGCAGTTAAAAATGTACAACTGTGTGGCAAACATTTTCACTGTTTTTATAAAACAATCAAATGCATTTCTAACGAAAGTATCATTGAAGAAAACTGTTGATCTTTTAGTATTTTCTGAATTGTTATCTTCAAGTAATTCCTCAATTTCTCGCTAGGTCAATGAAGCGAATCAAGAAGCCATTCTTACTTCGCTGTCCGTGAACTTGACATTGCTCTGCCAGAAATCATGCATTATGCGCGTAAACTACAGATTATTCACTAATCTGTACATACAGATAAGTGAATAATCTGTAGGTTGCGCTGTTTCCCAGAATTAAAACTGTGGGCGTTTAGCCAATGAGAAGACAGATGGTGACTACAATGTATAATAATATTGATAATTGTAGCTAAGTGACTAAGGGTTGATGTATATTTATACTTTTGAGATTAATGTACAGCTTTGCTGATCATTGATTAATAAAGTGATGGTTCTTCACAGATTTTGTTTGGTGGTGCCTCTTCTGGTGGCCTCGGAATGTTGGCAAATATTGACTATATTGAGGGACTTGTAAAACCTGCTGAGGTATGAAAGAAAACGCCAAAATGGGGATGATTTTCAGATACTCATTTGTGCTCTATTCCTCAATCACATCCTCTGAATGCAACAAAAAAATTAATATTTTTTACTTGCAATGAGGTAAAGAGACAAAAGAACAACATAATTTATTTCCTCCATTTTGAAGTAAAGTGTACTGGAGACTGGGGAATTATTATAAGACTGAAATTGGATAGCCTAACCTAATATTTAGTTTTGTATTTATAGTTTGCTCCTGTTTTGTTGGTTACAGTCTTGAGATCTTTTTAGTAAAATTTTATAATTCCTAAGTATTGGTTGTAAAATAGGGCCAAACTGAAAACTGCCTTAGCAATTTCGGTTCTGTCGTTAAATGTTGTTATTGTTATTATTATTATTATTATAGTTATTATCAATACTATTATTACTGTTATTTTAAGTTAAATTATTTGCATCGAATTCATGGTTTTTAGCCATTTTGGACCCACTGTTGAGAAAAGAAGTTTCTTTAACTTAACCTGTTTCAATTCCATTACAGATTAGAGGTTATAATGATGGTGGTTGGTTTACTTTGTATCCTAACTTTGGTGAAACAGCAAATGCAGGACCACCCTTTTTCTTCCAAGTCTTAAGCTATGTATGTACAATGTTTAAAGTATTATACCTCTCACTGATTTTTTTTCAAAATATGTGACCAATGAAACCCCAGAAGTGTCTTATACTGGTGTATGTATGTGTCACTTATATCCCTTACAGCACCAATACAAAATCCAGCAAAAGGTCAAACAAATGAAGCTACATTTGTAGAGCATGATACAACAGCAAATTCTCGAAAATTGCTCTCAAGGAAACGTATTGTAGCTAGAAGGGAGAATTGCTCTTCAGGTCTTTGAATTGGGGGGGCTAAGATGTGGATCATAATTCTTGTATGCAAGAAGTTTGTTCCTGGCTTCGTCAGGTGAGGAAGGTATCTATCTTTCTTTTGTAGCACCTCGATGTTAATGTAAATGACATGTGACATTATTTGCGTTTTTTGTAGATGTTTCACAAATTGTGGGATGGTTTTGTCGACGAGACATGTAGAGCAAATATGCCTAAGGCAGAAGCTTGTCTATATGGAGAATTAGGTAAGCAAGCTCCTTGTTTGAAACAATTGCGTGGAAGCAGTGTCTGACAAAGTTGTTACAGCATGCACAGAAGATGTTTGTTTAACCTTTTTTTTTTTTTCAAATAAGAAAACAAACAAACAAAAAAACATATGAATTCAAAACAGGGCAATACTCTAAGCGATTTAGAGGAATCAGGGAGGCTTTCTCGTCATTTGGGCGGCACATCCCTATGAGAGCTTACCTGTGAATTCCATTTGGGAAAAGCTTTGTCTGGGAATCCGTCATTTACAGGTTCAACTTGAAGTTTCCTTCCTATTTCCTCCCACTGAGCAGATTTTTAGTAAGTTCTTTTCGCAAAGAGCGGAAGAAAACGGTCAAAGAACAACTATTGTCCACAAAAGCCGATTCAAATCGTGCGCGGGAAAAGCAACGCACCCGCCACGAAAATCGAGGAAACCCTTGTGCGAACGTCAAAAAGTCACGTGAGTAGACACGTGAGATGTTAGAGAGATACTAAAAGTAAATAAGAAAGATAATAAGCAAAAATGAACGATGTCTTCATTTGTTTATTTATTTAATTTTAGTTTTCAAGTATTTATCAGCCCCCGTCTACGTGTTTGTGGCACAGTGGGACTCCTACCAACTACAGGAACTTGTTCATTCCAAGTTTCCTACTATGAGACTTCCACCGGAGCTTCCAAGCGAGGCAGAATACCTCGGAAAGTTCGGGAAAAATACTCACAGATCTCTCAGACGGGTAGGCATTCTGTATAGGCGCGGCGGTTGTGCTTTTATAATGACGCCATAGTTTCTATTTTAAATATTTTCGTTAGTGCTGTTTTTTGTGACTTCTATCCATACTAGTAGGTACTCAACCCATTAACGCCCTCAAATGACTAACTTGAAAGTTCTCCCCTTAATATCCATACGCTATCCAGCAAACAGTGAGAATACTCAAGCTTATCAGGTTGAAGTTGTTACTCGATATAACACCAAATTTTCGTAACTAATTTACAATGAAATGTTTGGTAGCCAGAGAGGAGAATTAACAATAAGATCTTGAATTCTAAATGGCTAATTAGATGTTTACTGCCAAGTTAGGCCTAAATTCCTGCTTTTCTCTGCTTCGTCATTTCAATCATCGTACAATTTATATTTTCTTACAAGCTTCTTAGGTTACCCTCAATCACTAGCCAGTTATATTTGTTTGAAATTATCCAGTAGCATGTTAGAACCACTTGTGCAAAGCGCCCTCGGTGCATTAATTTTAAAACAATTAGGGATCACCTTGAGACTAAAAGTTTTTTGTTGAAATTCCTTTTTCTCCCTTTGTATTTTGGAAAACCATAGGTTATCAACAGCCAGAAAGATGGCGTATTTTCTCCAGCTTGTTTCATACATTCGTTTTCTGGCGACGATTTAACTAGTACAAAGGAGACGCTGGCTTGTGAAATAGATGGTAAGTTTCAGGGAACTTAATACTGATATTCTGTTCTTTAATCATAAACTATTACGATCATTAAAGTCTGTACTCGAGCTAAGGGGCCCATCTAGGTGGAACTTATCCCGGTTTCTTGAGCGTGAGACGACAAGGAGTATTATCTCCCCCCTCCATTAGAGTACATCGAAATGTTACCCACCCCGCCCTTGCAATTCCATACGCTTCCTTGACAATTCGCCTGTACCCATGTACACTCTTTGGTGGAGGGGGGTACTGTGAGAGTAAAGTATTGTCCAATTTGACCTGACCCATCGATCACTGTCGGTTCAGAGAAATTTATTTGTTTTCGTCTTGTTGTGAGCTTGGGACAAAATAAATTCCCATGAGCCCCCATGAGGAATCGGACCTCAGACTTTAAAATCTGCGTTCTAAGGCTCTGTCACTGAGGCACAGATACTACCCTATGCCGGCTAGACCATTACCAGGTCAAACGTGAGATGTGTCCCACATACTGCAAGGGCCGTTGAGGTTGAAAGCGTAATGTTTGTTAATACGCGTGCATACATCTCCCTATTTCATTATCGAGCTTAAAATTCACCATACCTGTATTTTTCACGCTATCTTTTTTTTTGTCACTGTGCTGTTGTACCCCTATGGTTAGTTGTCAAAGTGGGCTGGGCCAGCTTAATTCTGTGTTTTTTGTATCCTTTAGTTGGGACAACAAACGCCAAACTAGCAAACTTTCAAAACCATATCAACAAAAATATTTAGTAAATGTATATTGATTACTTTGGCTTCCCTTTTCCTCTATTCGTTTATCTCGAAAGTGTCAAACAGAAGACCCAAAGCCTCTAGGGAATCATCATTAAGCCTTTTATCATGTATCACGTTTATTTTTTGTAGGCAAGACACCATATGAAGCCTTCTCTGAATGGTTTATCAGCAATGGCACCCGTGGGACATATGTGGAGGAGCCGTTGAACAAACCAGAATGCAACCCCTCTTGCTGCTCAAAGCTCTGTATAAAATGTCGTAAACCGAGACCTTCTGTAGTTTACGATGAACCCACTCCTCAAACAATTAGCGGAAATGGTGAGCGATTCTCTCGTTTGACTTCGCAACATTTTCCAGTGTTTATTTTCGAGCAGCGCATCCTGTAAGCTGTAAAATGACCCAAATGCCGTACCTTAGAGCCTTTATATTCAAACATATCAAGTAGGTCTAATTCATAGTTCTGCTGAAGGCCCTGAAAGTAGGATATATGAAATGAATATTCCTGCTCTTTGCTTTCAGGTGCATCTCGTTGGCAGAAATCAACAGTCACAATATGGATTTGTGTATTTTTGATTTACTCTTTCGTGTTTTGGGGGGACGTAGTACTTTTGTAGGGCCCGTGGAAAAGACAAATAACTTTGGATGCTACTACAGCACCATGACAGGCGACGGTGGACCAGGCGTTCCATTGACAAGGTGAACACCCACGGCACAGTTGTCATAGGAACTATTGCTGCACCTCCAGGGATAAAATTAACGTCCAACTTCAGTCTGTTTTCATGGTGAAAGTGAGAGAAATTCAGACAGTGTTTATCCTGGAAAACACAAATGCCTGCATAAAATTTACCAGTATTTTCTGAACGTTAGAGCTCTTTAATAAGGTGTGATCAATTTAGAAAATTTTCCTGACTGAAAAATCGTCAAGTAATAACAGCAAACGTTCCAGAATTCACTTCCACAAATCGTGGTTCAAGAATTCTGCTTATAAAAAAAATTCAGTTTGTAACTTGCGTGCGTGCAGACATCTCCTATTTCCTTTGTTGAAGTCCCTTTTCCGCGTGCAACAAAGGCAGTAGGAGACGTCTGCACGCAGGCAAAATTGTAACGTTCTCTATTTTGATTAAATACTGCTGCTATTATTTTCCAAGCATTTTGGTTTATGCAACTCAGTGTGTGATATGTTCTCTGTAGATTTAAGTTAAATGGCTAAAAATCTGTGCTTGAAAACGTAATGATTCATTTCACTAACCCTAGGACATTGAAATGAAGATGGGTTATTTCGGGCGTTCTGGCGTCCTACTTTTGACTTTTCTTTGAATTTTTTGCTGCGAGCAAAAACAAATTCCGACAGAAATGACTCTAATATTTGAAAGGCTACGTAATTGCTCCAGAATAGCTCAAACGATGTATTATATTTTGTAAATTGTAGATTTGCGTCATATTGACGCTTATTTGGACGAAGTTAATTCATTGGGAAATATGATATTTACGTTACACATGTAGGATCAAATGTTATGGTAAATCGTTTATTGCAAATTGGAAATAAAACTATGATTAATCACTAGCTCAAGACAACCTGTTGCCTTTCTGCACTCAAAACAACTTCAAAAGCTTCAAAAGTTACTGTTTTTCATCTATCAATACGATTTTGTTTACCTAAATTAGCATCGGTTCATACAAAGAGCGTTCTCTGATCGGCTAAGACACTCGATCAATTTTCCCGTGGGTTGCAGGCTGACGTCAGTTTCTGAAAGATGTTTGAAAGTCTCATCGAGTTATGGATGCGCTTAGGAAGTTTGCTAAGCACTCATGAAGCTAGAGTCGTGGTGAGTTTGTTTCAATACAATACATCTCGATTTTTTTACTTCCGTGTATTCCATATGGTTTGCATCCCACTACTTATCAGTGATTTTAAGAGATCTTGAAAGAGAAAGACCGCTCCCATTGAGACATAGTTATCTTTCTAGCACTGTTACCAGCTTATTTTCCTTGGTGTGACAACATCTAAATTAAGTACGGCATTTTCCCAAGATGATCTTACACTTTTTTCCAAACTTTTCATTAAACGACAGGTAAATGTAAGGATTGATTGGAGTGCAGGAACTGATGAACGCGATAAAAAAAAAAAATTCAAGTCCAAAGAGCACAAAAGATGCTAATAAGTTCGGAGTAACAACTGATTAAACAAAATGAACCTTGCTACATTCTTGTGGAAATTGGCTCTTTATCTCGATACGAGTAATTAAAATTGCTGCAACAGAATGGTTTCAGCAGAACGAATATTTGCTACAGAATTCAAGGGCATCTAGGGAATTATACAAAAACAACTACCTTGAGCGAATAATAGTTGAATATCACTAGAATCAATAAGAGGATGGCGGGATGGTAAAGAAAAGGAGAATAATGATCTTTTAATATTTTTAATCATTATCTTGTATTCTTTTTCATAAAATTAAAAGTTCTGTCAAATTTATAAAATTTAGCTCGGTCAAACTATCTGTTCTCTACGCAGGTTGCTTAGATTAAGTAAGGACTCATAATTTTAACTATTATTACTATTATTATTGTTAATATTATTATGATTATCTTTACTATCTTTATCATTATCAACGTAGCTAAAGAAATGATTGAGCGGGTATAGAACTCGATCTGTGCCTCTAAAGTCATGAAATACATTTAGTAGTGCACTTGCGATACGTGAGTGAAAATTTTTAATCCAAAATTTTTTTATTTGTATTCTTCCTATCACACTGAAACCCATAGCCATAGTAAAGAAAGGAGCAAAAGGCGACGGTACTAGTCATACAAGCCTGATAAAGGCAGGATAAAACAGTCTTAACCACACCTTAACCTCCTCCAACATTTCGTCATAATGATAATATATTCCTTACGAAATTTTTTACAAAATGACAAATAAATGTAAGGATTAATTGCGCTATAAGCATTTGCCAACCACACCACAATTTTGAGTGCAGCATATGGTATTACAATCTTGTGCAAACTGTCCAAACCAACGAACATAAAAAAAGGAAACCAACACAAAGTAAACAAAACAACAACGATGATCATCATCCGGGTAACTTTCTTTGCTGTCTTCATGGCTTCTGCGTGCCTTGTATCGTGACCAGCTTCATCGCCAGGCACTTCTCTAAACAACAAACGAGAGCACACGATAGAATAAAGAACCGCCATGGCCAAAAGAGGAACGACGAAGTTAAACAGCAACACGCAGAGGCCTACAATGCTTGCTGCAGACAGCTCAACATGGGAGTAATCTATGACACAAAAGTGGCCAGTTCCCTCCACGAAGACAAGTTTGGCCATGGAAATCATGCCAGCTGACGAAGACATAGACAACACCCAAATCGAGGAAACTACTAGCCTTGTACGGTGAAATAAAGGGGAAAACTTCAAAGGGCGAGCTACTGCATAATAACGGTCAACGGCTATGGCAACGAGGCTCCAGATGGAACAGTACTCAGCTGGAAAATGAAACCACACCAGTAGCCTGCACATAGGTAATCCCCAGTCTCCATCAAACCACCTTCTGTGAAATAGTTCATCACCCAGCATGCTTAACATAACAGTAAATGTAATGATCAAGTCTGCGCATGCTTGATTGAGGATAAGGTAGTTGGTGGTGGTTTTCAAGAAGTGTCTTGTACGGATGATGTGGATGATCATGCAGTTGCCAAATATGGAAGCAAACACGATAACGAAATAGACTGACGCCAAACTTGCGAGCAGCACTGATTGGCTGGTTGAAAGTGGAGGGCTTGAAGTGTTTCCTATTTTAACGAACAATTACAAAAATAAAATAAAATAAAAAAAAAAAACAAAAAACAGAAAAACAAGGAAACTGAAGGAGTTTGTAAGAAAGTAACACGTACAAACATTACGCGGACTTTGGTAGTATCAATTTATCAACTGTTTGGATCAGAACTGTCCACTTGTAAAACATAAAGTCTCGCCTGTTTTTACTGACGCGCTTTAGCTAAGTTTTTCGCCATCAAAGCTAAATAGAAAGAAGCATATCTTCGCTTCGTATGCAAACGAATCGCAAACCATAGAACAACGCAAGAGATTCTTAATACAAAAATTCCAACGAGTGAAGAATTATTCAAACTGTGCATTTCGTGAAAAGTGTCATCTGAAATGTTAATAACTACAGGTTTTGACTTCTTCTGTTACAGTGAGTGAGTGCAACGTACAGCTGCTGTTGACCGGCCTCAGTCCCCGGCCTCAGTCCCCGGCCTCAGTCCCCGGCTTCAGTCCCTGGCCTCAGTCCCCGGCCTCCCCCTCTCCCATACCCACATAACCTAAATTTTAGAGCTAATCCAGGATTACAAGTTAAACTTGTATTAACTCCACCTAAGGGCTAACGGTTTGCAAAGTTTAATCTCGGTAAGAAGAAAAAACAAAAGAAATCAAAATATAAAAATACTTCGTCAGAGCTCTAAAACTAGTGTAAAATTTACACTCAAACCTTCGCTCGGCTAAGTCTTCTTTTAAAACCCAATTTAGCTGTGCTTCCCAATGCATACTGATCTACAATAGGTAATAAACCATTCTACTATTTGAATTTTTACCTTGATTATTTGTCTTCCAAGGTACAATGGCTGAAGCTTCCATACTCCAAGCTGACAAAGTTACAGTAAAACAAACATTATTGCAACAGGTCCATTTAAATTCTGGGGCGCCCCTTCAACGACATTTTTGACGAGAACCAAAAGATACTTTTGTAAGAATAAATCGAGCCACAGAATAAATATGAGTTATTAAATTTATTATTATGTTTTTGCAATTCCTCCCTACTTACCTTGTAACCTTAATGCTCACAATTGAGTCACTTAACAGTAGTACATGATTACAATTGTCCTTCGATTGCAGAGGCTTAGTTTGGTCCATTTATTTTTTTGTTTACCATTAGTTTGCCAATTCGCGTATCAAGCGCATAATAGTGTACAAAGTTTTCCCATTGTTAGCGACATTTGGAAACCCTAACACTGTCTTAAATCACGAAAAATTAGCCATTTTTTGTGGCTTTTTATAAATTCGACTCAGTTTATTGATACAAAAACATGAAATTCTAATTACGAAACAGGGAGGATGCTGCATGCAGCTCGATAAAGCCAGCGCTAAAATAACTTCAGTGTTTCCCGCATTTTCATTAGTAACACTATGGACAAAACTTGGCATATTTAACTAAGCAACGTTGGTACAAGCCCCCTCGGGTGTAATGGCAATGAACAAGCGATGCTCACAGCATTTACTTTGGCTTGTAGCCTATTACTCAAATTTCCATTAGGCACGCTGGACCTTCAAGCTGTACCGAACTTGTGGGGTACACTCTAACTCACGTACTCGAAAATTGTCCTTAACAAATCCTGTTTTATTCTCCTCCTCGTTTTCATTTCTACTCTCGCACACAAAAACTAATTTCATCATCTCCCAAGCGTCTCCTGTTACAACCTCGTTATCTAGCCTACACGTGCTTACGCAACTTTCGCATTGCGTCATCTCTAAAAACGTCTCCTGTGTGCTTACGCAACTTCCGTTCAAAGCAAGGAGTATTAAAAATGTCCCCATCCATAAGATGGTCCTGACCAAACGTTTTTCAGAGGTAATGCGTCAAATCTTTGAGATTTTAGAAATCTCTAGGTCGAGCCTGAAGGGCCGAAGCCTAAGGAACGACTTATGAACAAACAATACTTTTGCGTGTTGTGGTCGAGCAGTGTCTTTCAATTCATTTTTTTTTCAGGTGGTGAGTCGTAGGGCAGTCATGGCAAAAACCTGTATGGCACTATGGCATGTTTTCTTCGAAGAAAATTGCGTTAACAAAATCTTTTCGAAGCATTCTGCATAATTTATTCATCTGAAAATTACTCTTTCGATGTTCATGCTAATTCAAAACTATTGCGATGCGTTAAGGAAATCAAGTGCAAAAATATAAAAAGAATTAAAGAGCCTTAAAGAGAGGAGTATTTGAAAACTTTTCTTACCTCCCTGGGGAGAGCAGTCGAAGGTTACCAATGCAGAATATGGATGTTATAACTTTCTTTAATGTGTCATCTGGATGGACTGTAATTTATACCAATCTAATTGTTGTCTATATCTTGGCGAAAAACTACCTCATTGGCCAAATTTCTGAGTGGAAATTGTATTATGGGGACCATTGCGTTTTTGATAAATGCAAGTCGTAACTTCTGAACCATATGAGATCTGAGGCAACCGAGGAAACGGAAAATGTGCAAACATTGTTCGGAAACTTTAGATCTTATGGTTATGAAGCGAGAATAAAGAAGAACATCTTACAGTCTTGGTACTTCCCAGAAACGTGCGTCAGTACCAAAGCTTCTTTTTCTAACAGTGTTTCACAATATCCATTAAAACGCAGAATATCAATTTATTAGTAAACCCATTGAAGATAACGATAAATGTAATAATTTTGAAAAAAAAAAATCATCCAGAGAGACAGGTGAATTTAATCCTTTTCGAAAATTGACGTTTTGAAATTCATATCAGAAGGTGCGTGGCAGGACTTCAAAAAATCATAGTACTCGAAAATGCAAGGTAGAGTTTAAAGAAAAATTATGAAGGGTAAAATAGCTCACTGATCTGAGTCAATCGCAATTTTTTTCAGACGCGAACGGGCATGCAGAGACCATAAGAACTCAGCAATGCAGGCACAGTAACGATAAAATCCACCATAATTAGCATAGCGGTTAATTTTTTTGAACAATGTAACACACAAAACATGTCAATTAAATGGAAAGGTACATTTAAAGAGATTGAACTTTTCATATAGCTTTCTGTAATTCAATATTTGCTGAAAATATCGCCGAAAGTGACCACGCATAAAAACGCCGCTCTACTCTTGAACGGTTAATTCAAGGTGAAATTACGTTTATAAAAAGGATTTATGATTTTAACCACTGCATAGTTTTAACCTTGCAAAACATAAAAATTTGCAATTAAACGTGAAGGCATTTCAGACTATTTCAACTTAAAAAAAAAAACATTGATACTTTGTAGATGTATTATTTCCTTGATCGATGTTCGGTTTTTTATTTATCTAACCTGGCCAAATATTTTGTTCTCGAGAATATTGAGAGATTTCGTGCCGTTTACCATATTGTGTTGCATTAGATACTGCTATTTAGTAATAAATGTTGTGGCAATGCCGCCACAACTTCAATAGAAGTGCATTTGCTAAATGTAATGGTTAAGCCAGCTGGTTTTTTTGATAAGCTACCCACGATCGATTATGAGCTCTTGCTTTGTAATGCATATCTTGCCTCAGTAAAATGTAGGCAAAAATAAAATGGTAAAATGTTATCAGTTTCAGTCCCTAAGGGTGAACTTATCGAAAGATTAGGCACCCATGTTGGTGTAAGAGGTTTCGTTGTCTTTAAAGACCCGTTCTTTGATTGATCGTCACTACCTAGGCCTTAATTTTTCGTTCAGTTAGTTTTCGCGAACTGACAAAAGCGACGTTGGTTTTAGAGTGGTCTTTACTCTTTTCAAAAAAGATATTCGTCATCACAATGGTTAGAATTTTGTGGATTCAACAATGTTTTTTTCACCACAATATCGATGTCAAATACATGTACAACGATTGTTCTGTGCGTATATATTGTGCGACATGTTGACGCGAGCAGCGTTGTCCGTACTCTTATCAAGAATGGAAAATTGGTCAATCAGATTTCGACATTACTGCCGATTGTGGTAAAAAAGAGTGTCGAGCATAGGCCCAATTACTGATCATTTGTATGACATGATAAATTTCCATAGAAACACCCTTTCATACCCGATTTAGCTTTGTGTTCCTGTTTCTCACTGAAATGTAGAACAATTTAAGGGGGCTCTGAACTTGAAGCTCATATTTGTGCCATGACCCGTTTCCCCAGTATAGTAGAAGTGTTGCTCTACTCGTTTGGATCAGAAGAAAACAAGCTTAGTAATCTGAATTATTCCAAAACAAGAACCAAACAGATTTTTTAACTTGGTACGAAGTCTTTGACTAGAGATGAGGTAAACCTAAGGATTAGTTCACAGAAGGCGAAAGTGGACCAAATTAAAACCAAAAGAAAACCGTTTGTGATCTACACACCAAAGAACTGAACAGTAATTCTAACATAGCTAGCAGAGCCGCACAATCAAATTCCGTATACGTAAGCGTGCTCAAAATCCCGATAGTGCACGCTGATACCATGAACAAATCGCTTCGCCAGAAATTGTTAAATAAAAGTGCAATTCTTGAGCGTAATTTCTTTTTTAAAAATAAAGAATTTTGTATTTAAATTGCATTAAAGTAATACTCGAGCGTTCAAAAGAAAATTTGAAATAAAACCAATTCCTGTTTTGCTTAATATGTTGTTTACCGCGAACAATCGCTTCTGATATTGTTGTCCGTTTTTCGCGTCGGATTTGAAGCACAATTCCACCGGCTATGTTATAAAACAATTGGTTCATGCTTTTAGCTGTGCACTATCGAGTTATGGAGCACGTGAGAAGTTTGGAGAGCACTCAAGAAGCTAGAGTTTCCCTCGGCTATTGCCTCGGGCAACTCTTACCCTTCTTTCGTTCTCTGCAAACTTTCCACGTGCTCCATAACTCGATAGTGCACGCTAAAGCCTGAACCAATTGTTAAATAGTATAAAGAACGGAAGCCGAAAAATTAGGTATGACACAACTATGACAATCATCATTCGAGTAACTTTCCTCGCCCACTGTCTTCTTCAATTCATATATCTTATTAATCAAGCGCGAGGGCCGTACTGGGAGAATATCGGCCTGAGGTCTTGACAGTACGGACCGCGTAGCGCCGAGTTGGCTATAATCATCTCATATCCAACATGCGCGAGTGGAATAATTGTTTCATTAAAAACGTTAAATTAAATTATTAAATTTTATTAAAATTTTTAGCTCCCTTTTTAATTTTAAGCTGACGCGTACGCTTAACATATTTGTAGATTATGGTATGTTGGCTCATATACCATAATGGCTAAGCCAATAAAAAGTCTTTAATTGCATTATCCAATGATCCAGTTTTTAATAATTGATCATATTTATCAATTTATTAATCTATTTATTTGCATTATTTGATAAGGCTGCTCTAGTTCAACTAATCGAGTTGTAAAGTAACCAGTAATGCTGGTTTTAAGGATGGGGGCCCGTATAAACAATCTAAACTACAGTACTACACAAATTCTAGGACCAGACTAAGTTTCAAAGTGAAACCCGCCTGTACCACTTATCTTTTAGTTGCGTAGTAATTGTGCTAACATGCTCTTTTATTTCTTTTTTCCAGAAGAAGTTCAAGAGGAAGCTCAGACCCGGACAGATTCCTGGCGTTCTAGCGAGCTTATCGTCTAGAACTTTTTGACAAAGTTCCACAAGGTAGGACTTAAGTAAAGAGTTCTCTTGTTTGCTTGACTTGTAGTAAGAATCCTTTCTAATGGTGAATCTGTCCACAATCTAAGGATGCGCTGATGTTATCCTTTTTTGAGTGAAACCAAATGTTTTAACCCCTACTGTATAATACAGCCTGTATTAAGCGTCACCGTACTAACAGGACAGTCTTCAAATTCTCGAAAATCTTACTCCTTACTGTAATTCTCACCTCTATTAAGCAGTTATCCCCCTTAAGCGGTCAGGGTCACCCTTTAGTGGGTCCCAACGGCCCTTTTGTATTGTCTTCCACCCATATTGAACATTTAAAGCGAAACCAACCAAATAATACTAGGAATAAACTTCCAAGCAAAGTTTAATCCATTCTAATCTCCCGAATTCAATGCTAGTAATATTTTTGAGCTAGTTT